GGAAATTCATAGTCTAAGTTAGGGGGTAAAAAACTTTGGCTAGGTTACCCTTTTAACATTGGAGAGCTTGGGTTAGACCAGTTACATAGATTGGTCCTATTATAAATTATTGCTCATTGACTAAATTAAAAGGAATAAGGGGGAGATAAGGGAAAAATTAATTGATCATATATACTTAAATGTTTTATTATAATTTAATATTATTATAATTTACCTACTTTACATACCCTTAATGTTTATACATGTGTATATGTTAGTACTCAATTAGGATTCTTTGATTATTGAGATGAGACATTTATCTCATTTTGTGATTAATATTTACAAGTAATACTTTGAGTAATAGCAAAAGAAAGGATTCGAGGCTTAGAGTTAGATTATACCTTATGTAACCTCCTTTAGCTTTATGTAGTATAATATATATATATATATATATATATATATATTTTGCCAACCTAGGGATGAATTGTTGTTTACCTGTCTGCCTGGCCTTTTTGTGAACCAAATTCATGAGAGTTTGTGCTTAGACTAATGATATTATTGTGAATTAATTACTATGATGAGATATTGTTAAATGTCTAGCTGTTTTTGTTAGTCCAAGTCCAAGGAGCTTGTAATATGGTCAGCAATGTTGTAATTGACATTATGTAAATTTGAATGTCGTTATCCATAGATGAATTATATTTTGAATGTCATTGACTCCCAAAAATTTATATGCTAAATTGTTATTTTGGGAGGTTAATTGCTGCTATTTGTGTAGGTCATGTAAATAACTGTGTCCCAGTGTTGTTGGGTACATAATCATCATTATTGAGATTACTTAATTAATTTGCTTCCGTTTGTTGGATTACTTTAATTTTGTTGTTTTAGGCTGATATTTTTGGAAAAGTGGTTTTAATATAGGATCCTTTTTTTTTTAAGAGTTATCTTTTGTTTTTGTTTTCTTGTAACCATGGTTAAATATCCTTTAACATGGTAATAGTTAACTAATGAAATTAACCTTAATTGTCATAATAGAGTGATTTAATTTTGATTGTGTTGGCATTAGAAAGATGAAGTCCAATCTTCTTGGTCTTTTTAGTCCTTCAAGTTCTTTTTTTTTTATAGAACTAGACTGAACTAGGTTTGTTTGGGTTGGATTAGGTTTTACAGGATTGGAGGAATTTTCACAGACCTACAATAAAGTCTTCATTATTATAAAAATATATATTATTTTCTCTTTTACCCTTAGTTCCAATTACTAATGTAATTCATAATGAGTAAGAGATAACTTTACATAAGGATTTAGGTTAATAAATAAAATAGATAAAATGAAATTTTTTTTTACATAAATTAAGTTGCTTATATTTTAAACCAAAATTAGCTAAAAGAGAAAATGTTTACATTTTACACAGGAGGGAGTACTCATTCTTATTTAATTAAATGAAGAGGATGAGTCATTCTATTATATATGCATGCGAATTTTTTTTAGCTAAAAGGTAAAGGAAATATGATAGAAAAATTTCTCTTGGAATATAAAATGATAATGAGATCCAGCGAACTGTGATAATTCTTTTTTTAGTCTCTTAGAACCCTTCTGACATAAATGTCTTTCGTTAAATGACTGTAATACTGTGAATTTAAAATAAAAAATAAATAGGTAAGTGGTTAAAAACTATATAGAGTGAAACTTGTCATTTGCCATCTCATTTTAGTCATGACTAATAAAAAAGTAGTCATTACTAAAATTAAAATAGTCACTAATATCTATAATATTTGGACTTCAATGATTAAAAATTTTGCAGATGAGAAGTTGTAGTTACATATTTCATTTTAATATTGTCAGAAAAAAAATTATTCATTACTTAAGCCAAAGTAGTTACTGTTGTTTATAATACTTGGATTTCAATAATTAAAAAATTTGCAGTGCGAAATTTTTCACTTGTTATCCCAGTTTAGTCATTGTAAAAAAAAAAAAGTCATTATTTAACCCAAAGTAATCACTAATGTTTAGAATACTTAAACTTCAGTAATTAAAAAATTTGTAGAGGAGTAAGTTATGATTACTTATCCCGTTTTAGTCATTATCAAATGAAAAACCAAAGTAATCACTGCTATTTATGACACTTGAACTTCAACTAAAAATATACAAACAATAAACTCAAATAATCAACTTGTGAATTTAACAGCAATAATATTAATAATTAATAATTATAGAAGCTAGAACCATGATCTGCTAAAAATTTATTCAAACACTCATATGATTAAATCAATTATGCGACGATCAAACAAACACCATATCTTGGTCTGATAATTCTCATAAGCAGCTCTACATACTTGGGGTACACTTGGGTTAACGTCGATATGTATATAATCTCTTCATATTTTATACAAATTTTGTTTTTTATGAATAAACAATACTTTTTGTTAGGAATGGGAAGTGATTGTCCAAGAATGGGGGGAGAGGAGAGAAAGGTAAAAACAAAAAAAAAAAGCATTACATCTTAACTCAAAATCTCAAAACTTAAGTTTAATTATGAGTCTTTTTTTATTATATATTAGTTATTAAGTCTAACTTTAGCCGATATGAGATTTTTCACATCGTTTTAAATCCACTCACACTTGAACAACCTGACAATCTTCCCCTCAAGTGTGAGTCCACAAGCTCCCCATATCAAAGATGCCCCAAACACTAAGTCCCTTGTTCTTTTAGGGCTAGCCAAGTTTTTAGGCTTCAAATAGTGTGGCACACAGAAGTCTCTATTGTAATCAAGGCTAGTCCCATTTTAGGTTTCAAAAGCGTGCATAATAATGAGTTTTCAAGTCTCAGTCAAAACCTAACTTTGATATTAGTTGTTAAGAATGAGGAGCGATCATCTAGGGGAGAGGAGACAAGAGCAAGAGCAGTGACAAGACATCACATCTTATCAAAACATCAAGACTCAAGTTTATGAGTCCTTTTTCTTTATTATATATTAATTATTAATCCAACTTTATCAAATGTGAGACTTCTCACATTATTTTAAATCCACTCATATTTAAGACAACCTAACACCTTTTTCTAATAGCATAAACCATATCTATCGAGTTACTAATGACAAAGAGTAAACCCTCATAAATTTAACTATATGTTTAACGAGGTAAAGTGCTTGTGGTGTTAACATTAATATACTAAAAACTAGACCGGTTTATCTGTATACAAGTCAGACTTGTCGGGCTTCGTAGGGCCAGTTTTTAATACCACAGCTAACATTAACTCAAGGGTGTTATTTTATATGGTGAGAGTTGCACCTAAAACTCTTGGAATGAAAAAAAAAAATTGCACTTAAAGCCAAATATATACGTATATATTCCTCCCTTAAAAAATATAAAATATTTTAACTAAATTTCACTCTCAATAAAATAGTTACTTACTTTTTAACTATCCTATCTTTTCATATTTGTCCCTATTAAATACCCTATAATAAATATAAAGTCATTAACAATAGGAGTACTTTTCAAAAAAAGACAATAATTACACTTCAAAAGACTAAAAATACCTTACATTTTTTAACATCCAACTCTTTAAAAAATACTTTATATTTTTAAAGGGACGGAGTATAATATAATTTTTTTTATCACCAAATTTTACAAAAAGTCATCAGAACTTTAATAGTGGGGCAGAGAGTTTATAAATTAATTAAAAGATTCAATTGCAAAGTTTAAATCACGAGGATCAAATTGAAAATTCTGGAAAGCTTTCAATAATGTCACAAACTGTAACCGGTGCAGTTTATAAGTTTATAAATAAATTAATAACTTGGTTGCACATGACCAAAACGTCAGATTTTCACATTTATTGTCGACCTTGAGCAGTAAATATGCCACGTTGCCTTATGTATATTGCATCACGTTATGTCAAAGAGAATGGGGAGGGATTTAGCTTTTTGTTGTGTAGTGGGATGTCACATCACAACGTGTTGCACGACGAGGCGTTATTATCCTTACTAATTCTTTTTTAATTAAATGAAGATGATGACTCATTCTTTTTCTAAAACTTATTAACTTAATATTTATCTTTATTAAATATATATATATATATACATATATACTTTATAATATATTTTTTCATTAAAATTTAATAGAAAGTAAAAAAATATATAATGAAAAATATTAACCTAATATTTATATCTTGTAAATAAGACACAGCATCTTTCTGAAAAGCAAAATTATGTTATTAAAAACACATTAAGAAAAGCATCAATCAATCATTTGTTCTCAAGCACCGGCTTGCCATATGTATTTTAAAAAAGAAAAGCATCAATCACACCACTCTCAACGCATCCCAAAGCTAATATCACATTCACTGATAAAGACAAACTTTAAAAACCCCACTGAAGTAGCTAAATTATCAATTTTATTTAAAAATAAACGAACTTCAAATTTTATCCCATTTAAAGGAAAATTTTTTAAAGGAAAATTTTTCAAATTTTTATACATTATGATTTTTTTCTCATAGTTAATAAATTTAAATAAGAATAATATTAAAAAAATATAATTAGGACAACATAATGTGACTTACTTCCTTTAGTTCTATTTATAAGTAATTTTTATCATGTTTTATTGGAGCAAAAAAAATTTTAAATCTCATTAATTTTATCTTAAAATTTAATAGATTTCTACATCTAACCACTAATGAGGACAAAATGAATTTTTTTTCTGTAATTTTTCTTAGCATTTAATATAGGCATAATGGTAAAAATCAATATAAAAAATAGTAAAGTGTCCTACGAATAAGACCAATTAATTTTATCTCCGCTCAGTAAATAGCACTAAAGGAGTATATTAAGGACCAAATTTAAAATTCTCATAATGGGTACCAAAGGGGGCTAGCATGTGATACGTATTAATTAATTAATTAATCAATCAAAATTCCTTTTCAAACGTGACTTATTATACACTCTCTAGTCTTGCCTCCCACTGTGGGTTCTGAAGCCTATAAATATTGCATGCCATGGCAGGCCTGTAATACCAAAAGACATCATTATAATTTGCTGCTTTCATTATCTGAAACCTTATTGAGGAGTTCGTGCAAGAAGAAGAATAATCATGTCGTTGGAATACTCGCAGAAGCAATTGCTGAGACCATTGACCCTGTCAGATGACCAGGTGTTGGATTTAGTTCGTGGTTGCTATGTTGTCAACAAGCCTGGTGAAACCTTCAAAGTCGAGGCTCTTTTCAATGTTGCTGCAGACGTCATGGGTCCTTCCATTGGTCTTGCCAATCCAAGCATTAAGCTGGTATATATATTTATATAGGTTTCATGCATGTTCTATACTCTCTCCCTCTGTGTGTGTGTGTGTGTGTGTGTGTGTGAGGAAAACAATTCTGATGTGTCTATATATTGTTTACAGAATGTTGCACAAGAGACGAAGGACAAGGCTTACCTTGCAAACTTCGAGTCACCGACACATTTACTCAAGCATATTGCTTGTCAGGTTATTACTACATCGAACAGCATGCTTGTCTTTCGTACATTTTATTTCCATATTTCTACATCATGTTTAGAAAATACAGTAATAATAAACTATAAAATCTATCCTTTATTGACAATATATCTAACGCATATATATAGTTATTTCATTTCATTTCATTTCATCGATACTCATTCTCATCACTATAACTCATAAGATCACGGCTTCAAATTCTACTATCAATTTGAAAAATTATCGGTAGGCAATTTGTAGATAAGTACCTCTATAATTAAACTCTCTTTGAACCCGGATGCATGCTTTAGCCCTAATAATAAGCCCTCAGATTAAACTCACAAACTTTTATGTACATAAAACAACAGCCAGATTATCAAACCAAAAAAAGAAAGATAGATTAACTCTCAAACATATACATACATACATACTTGCAGATATGTACATGTATATGTAAGGAAAGAGTAAAGAAACCACTCATGATGATCAAGACATAAAAGAGATTAACAAAGCATTTTGTTTCTAATTAATTCGCATTGTGGACAGATGATGCAAACACGACACGATGAGCACTATTCATTCGCACACAAAACAACAATGGCGATTCTGAAAGAACTTGACGCGTATTCATGGTGTGCGAAAGCAGTGACCGCTCTGGCTGCATTTGCATTAGAGTATGGGAATTTCTGGCACCTTTTTCAAGTTCCGAAAGATGACAATCTCGGAAAATCATTGGCTGTGCTGAACCATGTTCAAGCCTTCGAGAGAAGCCGCAGTGACATCTCCGACTACAATCTCGTTGTCAAGAATGCGTTCCTCTGCGTCGAATATCTGGTTTCGATGGAGAGGATGTCCAAACAAGGCTATGACCTGAAGGAGGACATCCCAACGTTGGGGAAAGCCATTCAGGAATTTCCTGTCTTCGTTTACTGGACTGTCCTCACCATTGCCATCTGTGCAAGTTATATTGATATCCTCTTGGGTTATTCGTAAGTTCTTCATTCTCTTTACACACACACACACACACACATCCTCATAATCATTCCTTTCGATTTTTAATATAAGGCAAACTTTGAAAACTTTTTTTAGTCATTAAGACTACTTTGGTCTTATTTATATGGACAGAGAGAGAGAGAGTATTATTTTGAGGTACTTTAATGATTATAATGTTCATTTTTACCAATTTGTTCATATTAAATTTTGGAAAGTTTATTAAATATTTAATTTTTTATTTTTAAATTTGATATATTTGTTAGGAATAGAGTTAAAAACTTATTAAATTTTTAAATAGAATTAATTACTCCCTCTATTAAAAACTGTAAGGCATTTTTAACCGAATCTCACCCTTCAATAAAACAGTTACCTACTTTCCAACTAACTCTATTTTTTCATATTTATCCCTATTAAACACTCTACAATAAATATAAAGTCATGATCAATATGAGCACTTTTAAAAAAAGGGCATGATTATACCTAAAAAAACTAAAAATTTCTTACATTTTTTAACATTTAACTTCTCAAAAAGCACCTTACATTTTTGAACGGAGGGAGTAGTTTTTAAAGTTTTTCTTAATTTTGATAAAAATGTTAAAAGTGACTTATAAATAAGACTAGAGAGAATATAAGTTAAAGTTAGAATAATTAATTAATTTTTTCAATTTTATCCCTTGTTTATTTATGACGATAGTTTGAATTCCTAAATGGAAATTTAACAGCATAATTAATTATAAAGAAGACAAAATTGGTAAATTACATGTCTTTTAAATAATTTTAAGAATATAAATATTATTTCTTAGTAAGTAAGAAATCGATTAAATTGTCAAGGAGCATATCAATATATCAGATGAGAGAATGAGCCAATTCTGGTGCATGTCAAGTTGATTTTGGATAATTATAATAAAGAAGGGTATTTTAGTAAAATACCATATATATAATATTAGCTAAGCAATTGTTAAATAGGGTTTTTCATGCCAAATTCTTAATGAATATAATGAGTGCATTCTATATATGTCTCACATGTTTCGTTAGTGGTTTAATTAAAAAGGATATTTTTAATTAAATATTTTACTACTTGATTAATGAACTTCGTGAAACAACTTTTCTGGTCAAACATTCAAAAAAGCAAGACAAATTTTGAAAGTGTTGCTTTATTATTATTTTTTAATGAGACCATCGTATTTTATACTGAAAACTGTTCTTTTTCATCAGGTCGAGTGGACATGAATTATCCAATATCAGCAGCAAGATTTCAACTGTTGTCATCAAATTAAAGAATTATCTGGCAAAGATATACAATGATGAGAAAGGTGATGATGAACATGGTTAATTAATTTTTAATTTTTTTTATTTTGTGACAGAGAAAAAATGAATTCAAATCAAAGCTGATATCTATGTATTTTCTATCTGTATTAATTGCAGGACCAGTAGATGAATACAATGAACGTTACAGGGTGGTCTTTCAAACTCCCACAGAGATAGTGCAGGTTTTGAAGTGCCTTCTTCTCCCCAAAGATTTGAAGGACCCACATGTTTATCATGGCTCCACTGGATCAATGGTTTGTGCATAAATATATATATATATATATATATTATGAGATATATGATATTTTAAACTCATATGTCTAAATTACAATTTTGCCCACACACTTTTAAACTAAGGGAAATTGACCACGAGAAGGCCCAAAGGCATAAATAAATCTTGCAGGAGACTGCGGTTCCGGAATGACAAATATGTTTTTAGGGAAAATAATTTTTTTTCCTGAATTGATTGTTGAAGTTATCCATAATTAAATCTTCAATAATCTGTACTTTCGAGACAAGTGTAGAAAAAGGACAGGTACATTATTAATATTTCTGTTGAAAAACATATTATCCCTCAAGAACCATGATCCTTGCAGTTGCAGGCTTTATTTCTGCATTTGGGATTTTGTGCAATTTGAAAAATAAGGGCAGAAAAAAGAAAGGTATTTTGATATTTTCGTTAAAAAAACATTGTCCTTCAAGGACCATGATTCTCTGATGGCTTTATTTCTGCATTTAAAATTTATGCTTAAATATTTAAGTTGTTAGATCCTAATCGTCAATTTTCCTTTAATCTAAAGTAAACTAATCATTACTTTGGCCAAAAAAAAAAAGGTAAACTAAGCATTACGCCCCCTTTTTGTGTGCTTGTGCTTTTCCACACAACAAACAAACAAACAAATACAGGTGAGCATCGAGGTGTTCAGGCAGAAACATGTGTTGCTGTTCCTTTCTGGGCTGTACAGCATAGAAGACGAGACTCGTCTGTTAAAATCCATCCACGCAGGACTGAGGAAAGATCCAAAAGAAGTCCAAGGATTCAAGAAAGACGAATTCAAGATCCTGTGGGCCCCAATTGTTGATTATGACTCATCTGTAACTGGAGACCCAAAAGACAAGAAAAAGTTTGAAGAGTTGAAGAGACAGATGGACTGGTACGTGGTGGAGTACTCCATTATTCCTCCAATATGCAAGAAGCTTATCAGAAACGGACTCAAATATCAGAATAAACCTATGGTCCCTGTGTTTAATCCTCAAGGTCATCTAACAAACAAGAATGCTTTGCACATGTTGTTTGCTTGGGGTGATCCAGCTTTCCCTTGGGGCGAAGACGATGATTTGCATCTTAACATGGAATGGAACTGGTTCTGGACCGAAATGAAGAGACACAATCCAGAAATAGATCAGTGGGTACGTATAATGCAGTTCGTTATTGTGTGTGTGTCTATATATATGTGTGTAGAGAGAGAGAGAGAGAGTACAAGCAGATTAAAGAGAGCATAATAAAATAAGACGTGTTGGTAATACTCAGACATCATATAAGTTAGCTTCTGGTTCCGTTTAATGTTTGAGTATCATTGTGTCGTCGTACTCGATCGTACGTAGACATGTAACTTTACCATGCCTAACTTAAATTGCATGCAGCTTTTTTTTTTTTTTTAGATCTTCTGATCTGATCATGTATCAGTACGTTGTCTATATATATATATATATATAAAGGTGGGGATTCAAGCAGAAGAGAGCATAGTAGAATAAGCGCTAGGTAAACATAGTACCGTTCCGCTTTATGCTTTCCCATAACTTAATAATTGTAGTTTTTCCTTCTTACATAGATCTTCTCAGATCATATATATGTGTGTCGGTGCGTCTACATACATACATACATACATACATATATGGAGGGGGGGACAGAGAGAGAGCATAATAAATTAGCAGCTAACTAGGTATAAGAGTTAACATAGCACAGTTCCGTTTGATGTTTCTGAGTATCACTGTGTCAGGCATATATAAATAGACATGTAATATTCCCATAACTTCAATTACAGTTTTCCCTTCTTACTTAGATCTTATCAGATCATATATCTGTGTGTCAGTGTGTCTATACATATATACATATATATATGTATGTAGAGAGAGAGAGAGCATAATAAAATGAGCAGCGAGGTAATACTTAGAGTTAACATAGTACAGCTTCGTTTGATGTTTTTGAGTATCATTCTGTTGCGTAAATGATGATGAGAGAAATTAAACCCTTTTGCGTGCATGTGAATCAGATCAAGGAAGAAGCATATGTCATCGTCTGTGGACGCACCGACGTGGACTACTCCTACGACCAGTTGTTGCAGAACATGCCGGAGCTATTGGAGAAAGTCAAGAGAGACGAGGTTACCAAAAGATCTGACGTGATCATACATTACTATCACCATGGAAAAGGTAAAGACGAGCTGAGGATTGTCAATGCATTCTGGGCTTACCTCGAGAACTTGTTCGACAGCATGAGGAAGAAGACGACCATAGACCCTTCCTTCGAGCAAGTTAAGGCCTTCCTCGGACTCCGACATGAACAGGCTGGTTGGGTTCTTCTCAGCAAAGGGTCCAACGTTAAGCTGCTTTGTCGTGGAGACACTTTCTATCAGACGCTTAAAGAGTTCGATTCATGGAAACTCAACATCGAGAACGATCCTGGGTTTGATGTGTCCTTCACAAAACATTATGAGATTGTCTTCTCTCAGCTTCCTCCTCATGCGAATTGTCTTCGTTTGGATATCAAGTACCATGTGAGTGATATCTATTCTCCGATTCGTTGCATGTGTGGTCGTACAATGGACATTGAGTTAGTCAGATATGTTTGCTGCCATGGAAACAAAGAGGAAGCTGCCGATGCTAGCGACGGCGATGTCACGGTTCGCAAGTAGGAAACCAGTTTCGGGCTGCCAGCCGGCGGTCCCCTCAACAAGGCTAGAGAGAAATAAGAAGACAGGAACAGGTCCTACTTGTGTGCACGTGGATCTCACAAAAGTAGGTTTGTTTGTTTCTTTCTTTTGACTCTTTCTAACTTTTGAAGCTATGGTTTCGATTTGTGGTGGTTTTAATTAATTACTATGTTATTTTGGTTAAGTCTACTTGGCAGACGAATGATGTGTTGGTGTGTGACTTTTAGCCTCTCTGTGTTGTTGCCCTTTTCATGGTGTTTATAGAATAAATGGCTTATAATTCGTCTGCTTGTTATGATGGAAAAGTTTATTTTGATATAATAAAATCCCTCCTTTAATTTGAGGTGCCTTTTGCTTCTTCTTTTTTAAATATTATTTAAATTTTGTTTGAACCCTAGTTCCCTTCTCCTCCATAAAATTATTATAACATTTAGAGAAGGCTTATTCTTAACTAAGTCATAACAAGTGCGTTATTAATAATATTAACAAGAAGATAAAAAATCACAACAATATTAGTCTAGATGGTACTCTTTTTGGTGCTATTTATAAAACAGAGAAAGTTTTTTTTTTTTCCGTCACAGAGAAAGTTTTTTTTCGTACTATTTATAAGTTATAACAAAAAAATTTCATAAAACATTTCTCCCCTTACCTTTTATTGAATGTTAAAGAGAAAATATGTTAATATATGCAAATTTAGGAACAAAGTTAATACCTTTTTAAATTTTTAGACAGAGTTAATGAGTTTTTAAATTTTTTTTAATTCTGATAAAACATGTTGAAAGTGACTTAAAAATAAGACTACATAAGTAATAATTAAGTATTTGACCCATAATTTATAAGGTTATAAAATTAAATCCCACTCCAAATATGAAAATGTTATTGAGGATCAGTTTGTAGAGAGTATGCCAGTCCCTTCTGGAACCAATCCACTTATTAATTAAAAATAACACATTAAATATATCAAATTAAGTACATAATCCCAAAAATAGAGTGAGCCCGGCAATATACTGTATGCATGGGCTGAGAAAGCAATAGCATTTGATGCCATAGGTATCATCTAAAATCAAGAGACATAAATATAAAATATAACCAACACTTAAATCCTCTATATCACACAGGTCTAAAAATTAAGCTACGATACTTGTTATAAATTTTATTTATAATAATAATAATAATAAGGAGTCCTAGTTTTCACTCTGACACAGAAAAGTATAGAAAAGACCTCTCCATAACCATATTTCTCAAAATATTGTTGATTAGTAGAAATAAAGTACTGTGAAGCATTGTAAATCCGATAGGAATAGTGCTTTATCAAATTCAACAGCTCGAAATCAAAATTGAGCCCTACAACACTAGGAAAACCAACCCAGAAAAGGATGAAAATCAGCCAAGGCTATTAGAAAAGAACCAAACAGCAAACAATGTTGGGGAGAAAATATAAAGGTGAAGAACATGAGAAATTATTGCGGTCACCTTTTCCTGCAACGATTCAAGATGACTTGAGGGTCGAGAGTGAAAGACCGGCAGAAGAAAACGAACCAACCCAGAACTTGGTACGTGACTTGGAGTGGACCTGAACTCCAAGAACTCCAAGAAGCCATATCTGACATGGAGTGGACCAAAACAATAAGTGAAAAATCAATATCAATATGTATAATTTGAGAAGAAATAGGGGGTGATTATAAAAAACCAAAACTCACTTTGATTGGGCAATGTTTCAAGCAAAGCTTGGTGGTATAGAGGAACTCTTCAGACTTCAAACCCAAGATCCCTAATCTTCATCTCCTCTTTCGTCATCCACTACTTCAGCGATGCTATCCCGTCCCATATTTGCCTTCTAAAATCACGCTTATCTTCAAAAGATGCCAACATCAGGGGAGAACTCAAAGGGAAAAAAGAATGAGTAATCTGTTTGAGATTGGGGAAAAAGATGAACAAGAAAATAAAGAATTAGAAAGAATTCAAAAGATGAGAAAAAGAAGGAAGGAAGAAGAATGAAAAGATGCGTTGATGGAAGGAAGAAGAAGGCGAAGGGCACAGAGCCAAAGGTTAGAGGGGAAGGGAAAAAATCATAAGGGTAACGATGAAAAAACATTGTTCCAACGACGGTAAATCTACTAAATCATGAGGATAAGATTGGAAATACAATGTTAACACAGCTGTAACTCTATAGTAACACCTAATAGATTTTACAATATATATAAATATAAAGAGAAGAGATTAATTTATAAAAGGTTATAATATTTACTCCCTCTGTTAAAAAATATAAATTATTTTTAATTGAATCTCAATTTCAATAAAGTAATTATTTATTTACAAATTAACCTTATTTTTTTATATTTAACTTTATTTAAAAAGGTAATTTACTCTAAAATAAATATAAAATAAAAAAATATTTAATTCTAAAATAAATATAAAATAATTTATTTAATAGCGGTGTTTTTGAAAAAAAATGATTACACATTAAAATATTAAAAATATTATATTTTTTAACATCCAACATATCAAAAAAATACTTTAACTTTTTGAACAAATGTGATATAAAATATACATGAGTTGACTTCTTAGACTTTATACAGGATCTACAAAAACTCAAGTTTATTTTAGACTAGATTTATACCCGTGCATTAGTTTTAAAAAATAAAAATAAATATAACAATTAAAAATTTATTTTAATATCTTTAAAGTAAAATATATTTTTTTCCTTATAATTTTATCTTAGTTACAAATTATTTTTTTATTTTTAAAATATATATAAATCTCTCTTAAAATCAATAGTTAATAGTTATAAAATACAAATATATCAAAAAATACAAATATATCTTATACTTTTAAGTTTTTATTTTCATTCATAAAGCACAGTTAAATCAAAAATATTGAACCAAAATACCATTTTTGATATATTTTTTAAAATTTTTATTCATATTTTAAATTTATTAGTTATAAAAACTAATTTATTTAGTATTTTTTAAAAAATAAATATATAAATTTTCTAAAATAATATTTTAAACACGTATGTGTAAACAAAATTAAAGAAATAAGGGATAGATTAGCCAATATAATTTATGTTTATATTTATTTAAATTTTATGATTTTCATAAAATATTTTTAAATTATTGCCATACTTAATTGTTTAAAGTTTCTTTTTTGGTCTAAAATTGTTTGAAGTCCCTTAAATGAGATGATAGACAAATAGATTATAAGAGTAAATTTATAATTTATAATTTTTCTTCATAAATATAAATAATAAATTAAATATGTTATAATATTTAAAATAATATTCCTAATAGTGTTAAAAATGAGACTAAAGTGTATGTTTTAAAAATAAAGAATAATTTTATAATTTAAAAAAATAAAAGGAATGTTAGTGTATTTTACTATATAATTTATTAATTTATGAAAATTAAAATCTAAAGAATATTTTATTTTAAAATTTTTTATGTTCGTGTATATTAAAAATATAAATAATAACTTACTCCCTCTGTTAAAAAATAAAGGCATTTTTAACTGAATCTCACACCCAATAAAGTAGTCACCTATTTTTAAACTAATCTTATCTTTTTATATTTACTCCTATTAAACACCCTATAATAAATATAAAGTCATTACCAATAGAGGCACTTTTGAAAAAAAGTCAATAATTACACCTTGAAAGAATAAAAATGCCTTACGTTTTTTAACATCCAACTCTTCAAAAAATGCCTTATATTTTTAAATGGAGGAAGTATTTTACTTTTGAATGTGTTGTCTCATGAATTAAAATTTAAGGAACAGATTCTTTTTTCTTTTTGGTTTTCCAAGATATCTCAAAACCTGACAACTATAAGATTAAAATTTTCCAAGATATTTCAAAATTGTGTTCTCTCATATCACCTTAAGAAAAATTAAACATGTGCTATAACGATTCGTACAACAATTTATATTATAATATTATTTATAAATTATCATTATAATAGTTGTAAATCAAGCAAATAGTATACTCTATGTTAACTTGAAGCTGATAATTTTTTTCTCATACTTGAAACACATAATTACATCAATGTTTTCAAGCTACAATACCATTTATCAATCATATGTACGGGCATTATAAGTAATACAATGATTATTATAAAATGATTGGGTGAGTAGTAGAAGATAAATTCATTAACATTATATAATTAACTTGAATCCTATAATTTTTTTTCTCATACATGAAACACATAATTACATTAATGTTTTTTATAGGTTTCCAAACCATAATATACTTTTACATGTAAATAATAAAATAATAAATTTTAGAAAAAATACTTATTAGTCCCATGGAGCATATTTATTTATGAATAAGTCCCACGAAATTTAAAAAACATAATCAGGTGTAATGTTCATCTTGACATTATCAGAATAATACTCTAACATGCTGTTGTATAACCTGAATTAATTAAAATCTCAAGTAGAAGTTATCACAATCCAATAGTTTAAAGTAATTAATTTAAAATATTGGGATCCAAAAAAAACTTTTTTTTTTCAAAATTGTTTGATATCAAACTATAGTTTAAAGTAAATCAAATACAATAACGAAAGCATGAAAACTGTAATAACCTAGGAAGTTGAAGTAAAATTAAAATATAGAATAATGTGTTTTAATTCCATTTCTATTAAGTCTGAAAATATTTGATAAGAAGCATTGTTGGTCTAGTGGGAGTTGCATTGATACTTTACATGTATCTTAATTTGGTTTCAGTTTTGCAAAATTACCAGAATGCCCCTCCTTTTAAAATAAAAGTAATGCACTAATTTTGTCCTCATTCCTCTTCCTTTTTGTCGGCTGCAACGAGAGGGAGAGAGATTGAGAGTGGTTCCAGAAATTTCTTCCCCCTCTTTGATCGTCCGTCGCCGGTAAACTTGGGTGCGTTGGCCACCACCACAGTAGGTGTTAGGGAGCTTGCAAATCCTCTGCTCTTCCTCCTCTATTTGTGTAGCAGTTGAGCATTGATGCCATCCTTCTTCTTTCTCTTCTCTGCTGTCAGCTCGTCGGCACCATGGTTAAGCACCGAAGAGTCTTCTTTCCTCCTCCATGCTAGCACGCCCAGAACCTTCTCCTCCTTGTTTCTGCAATAGTTGAGGTAAGGATCTTGGAGTCTCTCCTCCTTTGCTGTTGCTGTGCGTGTTTGAAGGCTGGCTGTTCCTTTGTGTGCGTTTTGCTGTTGCTGTGCGTGTTTGATGGCTGGCTGTTCCTCTGTGTGCGTTTTGCTGTTGCTGTGCGTGTTTGATGGCTGGCTGTTCCTCTGTGTGCGTTTTGCTGTTGCTGTGCGTGTTTGATGCTGGTTGTTCCTCTGTATGTTTTGCTGTTGCTGTTTGTGTTTT